GGGACAGCAATATGGGGGTATGGGGGGCTTTCCCACTGCTTCAAGGTTTTCCCAAACCAACAGGGCATTTCCCTGACTCATCCAAAGAGCATCTCTGAGCCTGCAGACTGAGCACCTCCACAGGAAAGGAGAGGAGCAGGAGGCAGGATAGGTCTTGGCACCACCTTTGCTCTTTGTTACTGCACTGGTTGGTCGCTCCAGGGGTTAAAACAGAGGGATGTCAGCCTGGAGGGGGTAAAGGATAAGACAAAGTTCAGAGATCAGCAGCATCAGAGAGCTTGACATGAATGAAAACATTTGCTGCAGAAAAAGCACCCCTGGAAAGGTGCCAGAGCTGTTCTTTGGGACTCCAGAGCTCAACTGCAAAAGAGGCAGGGTGAAGGGAATGCTGGCAGCAAGACTGAGGGAATATGACTGGAAATGCGGGCACAATTATCTATTTATTTAATTTAAACGATGCCAGGGAAGGCGCCAGGCTGGGAGGCAGTTTCTGAGCGTTCAAAGTCAGCGTTCCCAGAGCCCCAGAACTAAACCCAAGCCTTCCCAGAGGGTCCCTGTGTAAAAATACACCAGGCATTTCAGTCAGATAACAACAGCCCTCAGGAAAGCAGGAGGATTTGCCAGCTGACGAGCCTGGAAAAGCCTATTCCCAAAGGGTTGTGTCCTGCAGGTCCCCAGCAGTCTCTTCTTTGTAATGCTGTACCTGCTTGAATTCCTGAGGGACTGTCTGCACGTTTTCCTGTTCAGGTCCCAGAGGAGTGTGATGTGTGTGTGTGATGCCTCCATGAATATTCCCTCCTCCCAGACATCCCTGCTTTACTGCACAGTGTTTCAAGCCCACTCCCTACTTTTGGGATAGCACAGACTCATGGAATCACAGAATCTCCTGAGCTGGAAGGGACCCACCAGGATCATCCAGTCCATCCCAACAAGTCTCTGAGAGCGTTGTCCAAACCCTCCTGGAGCTCTGGCAGCCTTGGGGCTGTGCCCACTGCCCTGGGGAGCCTGTTCAGTGCCAACCACCCTCTGGGGGAAGAACCTTTCCCTGAGATCCACCCTGAGCCTGCCCTGACACAGCTCCAGCCATTCCTGGGTCCTGTCCCTGCTCACATCCCAGGACACATCCCAGGACACATCCCAGGACACATCCCAGGACACACAGCTGCTCCCACAGGGTGAGGGAGGGTGCACATGCCCACCTGTTGGGGGAGGGGGGGTGTAAGGTGAACCTCCTAAATGGTTCTTCCAGATGTTTCTCTGCTCTGTGACCACGCCTGACCAATCTGCTTCCTCTCCTATGACCACACACCAAACCAGAGCACAGCTGGCTCTTTGGGGGACACTTCCACCCTTATCCATCTGCAGGTTCAGCCCAGTTCTTTGCCAGTCCTTTAAGGGCTGGCTGTTCCAGTGGCTTTGACTTGAAAGCCATCAACACGTTCCCACAGCTGGCAAAGCCACGAGGGCTGGACACCCTGAGCTGAGCCTCCCTCCTGACCACAGGGATCTGCTGGTCTCTCCAGGGAAACTGGGTTCTTGCTGTGCCACAAATCATGGGATTTGGCTTCACTTTGGGCTTGCAGCTTTAATGAGCCGCAGAGCTGAAGATCAAGGGGCCAGGAATAGATTCCACCAGCTCAGAGCTCTGGAGAACTCCTTCCTATGAGTAGCTCAAGCTGGGAATGCTGGACCTCAAGAGTGTCAGAGACAGTCCCAGAGTGCACAAACAGCCCCATGGAATGGTTTGGGTTGGGAAGGGAACTCAAAGCTCATCTCATCCAACCCCCTGCCATGGGCAGGGACACCTCTCACTATCCCAGATTGCTCCAAGCCCCATCCAACCTGGCCTTGGACACTTCCAGGGATGGGGAATTCACAACCTCTCAGTGCTGAGAGGAACAAAAGGATGTAAGAGGATGAGCACTGGACAAATCCAAGAGCTGACAGAGTTTCTCAGACAGCTACACTCAGTGTGAAAATGTGATTTTTCCACTCTTCCTGCATAGAAAACAAAGTGAAGCCACGGAATTTCAGCTGCAGAGGCAGGTTTTGGGAGCTCATCCTTCCCAAAGCTAAAAGCAAAAGCCACCTTCTCTTCCTTGGGGTGTGACAGTGCTGTGGGGTTTCATTTCAACACAGATCTGTCCGGTTTTCTCTCCAAGCAGGACTGAAGCATCAGCAGGAGACACTGAGGGAGGGGTGATGGTCATTGGGAGGATTTCATCCAGGTGCTCTCCCCAGGATTTGAGAGGATGCCTCATTTCCAACCCAAATCCGAGCTCCAGGCAGCAAATCAATCCAATATATCAGTGGCCCTCTCACTCCTGTCAGGGAGGAGTCTTTGTTTTCCTGGGCTGTGGCTCCTCAGGGATTGCCCAGCACCACCCAGCCTTTCCAGGCCCCCTCCTGTGTTCAGCAGAAAGCCAAATTCCTTATATTTGACATGTCCTCTCTAAAACAAAAGGACAGAAGGGATCCCCTGGAGCTGCTGCTGGGTTGGACTGGGCCTTGTTTCAGAAGCTGCTTCTCCCTGCCGATAATTCGAGTGACTCAACGTCAGCCTTGGGACCAAACGTGTGCCAAGGACACTGCGGCTGGGCAAGGTCAGTGTTCTCCTGGGGGTCCCTGAGGGGGCTGGAGCCATCCCTTGTCCCCAGCAGAACACAGAGGGCCATTCATGCCCCTGGCACGTGCAGGGACGTGACTGTCCCAGAATAGGGCAGGAGGAGCCCCCCCAGGGGGGTCAGGGCTGCCCTGGACTCCTCTGTTTTGGGAAGAGAGCCAAGGAAAAGCTTCACCACCCCCCACTCCCCCTCCAGAGGCCAAAGGGTTAAAGGAGGGGATGGACAGGCCGTGGCCTCTGCCCTGGGGGCTGAGCTGTTTGAGGGGGCTCTTTGCTGACCTGCTGGGGGTGGGAGCGAGCAGAGGGCACCTCTGCTGAGCCACACTAGGAGTCCAGCCTCGGTGGCACAGGCACCCACCAAGGAGCAGAAATGCCTCAGCTGAGGTCCAGAGGCAGCTCTGGGACACAAGCTTGCAAGCTGGAGATGTTTGTGAGCAGTACTGACCAAAACAGGGGGGTTGTTTGGGAGCTGACTGCTGTCCTTCCTCAGAGCTCTCACACCAAGATGAGATGGGCAATGTCACCCTCAAGCAGCTTTCTTCTCCTCCAAAAAAAAAAACCCAAACCCATAAAGGGACAGTTCCAAATAAAATATTCAGCTTTAAAATCAGAACAAGGAAAGCAGCCCCCTCAGCACCTTGTGTTGCTTCTGCTGCCCAAGCAGGTGGGAGCAGGGAGGTGTTGGGGACACGTCTGTCCCTGTGCTGTCACATCTCCAGCTTCACAACAGGCTTGGCCAAGGCTTCAGAAGCCACAGAGAGATGGGTTATCCACAGCTCTAACTCATCAAACCTTCAAGGAATCATGGAAAGGATTCAGTGCAGATACACAGATCATTTTCTTGCACACAAAGAAGGAAGAAAGATGCCAAACAAGAGATGTAAATTATCTCTACCCTGTTTACAAGCCTTGAGCACTGAGAAAAGCCAGGCTGGCCCAATTCTCATTGGCATTTCTGGCCAGATCTTGAGATGAGAGGGGATTTAATCCATCCCTGTGTCTGGATCTGCACAGAAAAAGGGCTGTAAGTATAAATATACCAGTGTTTGATCATGGACTGCTGCAGTTGTCCCATAAGTAGCAAAGATCAGAGAATCAGGGAAATATGGGATGGATTGGGTTGAAAAAGACTGTAAAGCCCATCTTATTCCACCCCCTGCCATGGGCAGGGACACCTTCCACCAGCACAGGTTGCTCCAAGCCCTGTCCAACCTGGCCTTGGACACTTCTAAGGGATGGAGCAAATCTTTGCCCCTTTTTGTCCCAAAATAAGGACAGAAAGGAAAGGTTCAGGCTCCTTCCCAGAGTGAAGGCACCTCAGGTGGAAGGAGACCATGTTTCCAGACGTTGCCATCCATAATCCTGTGATTTGGCCTTTTTTGCTGCCACCCCCAGATAAACCCCCACTCCTGGGCCAGGGTCACATCCAGGCAGGGAATGAAATTCCCCTCTCCCAGCAGATGAACCAAGGAGGTTGGGAGAGGTTTGGTCCACGGGGTTGGCCAAATTCCCTACAGGTTCCTAGAGTTTGGAGAAAGGCAGGAGGAGCCTCCTGGAAGCTTTGCTTGTGATCTGCTGTTCACAGGCAGGTGGAGAGCAAGGGGGGAGGCTTTGGGTCAGCAGCAGAGGCTGGACAGGACATGTGGCTCATGGGGGGGCTGATGTCACCCCATGGCCCTGGAGTGTCCCACCCTGACCCTTGAGCCACCAGACCCTGCTCTCCAGGCAGCTCAGGATGCTCAGAAACCACAGCAGAATAAAACCAGAGCTGGGGTGGGAAAAGACACTGGGGCAACCTCTTGTAGATGGGAGCATGGAAAACTGTTCCCAGCCCTGCTTCACCTGGACCTGCTTCACCTGGACCTGCTTCACCTGGACCAGTTTCCCCCACCAGACCAGGCTCAGGGTGGTTTGTCCCTCCCCAGCACCTCAGCCAAGACTTTCCTGCTCTGTCCTCTCTGCTGGAAGGGCCCCTCAGGTGTCCCTGCCTTGCTACCAGCACACACCTTGCTCCTGAACCTTTCCTGGAGAGCTCCAGGTGCAGCAGCTGGTTTTCCACACCCCGGGAAGGGAGGTTTTGATGTCTTTTTTCCCCCCAAAAAAAGCTCGTGGGGGGCTGCAGGTCCCTTCCCCCCAAGCCCAGCCCCGGGGCTCCCGCCAGCCCTGCCCTCGCCCTCCCTCTCCAGCTTTGGTTGTTTGTTGTTTTCGCTCCTTCCCGGAGCGTTTCTCCCGCTTTTCCCTCCTCTCTTCCCATCCCACCCTCCCCACCCATTGGTCGCGGGGGCTGCGCTCGGGGGAGCCCCGCGAGTTTCTATAAAACCAACCCACTGCGGGGAGAGCTCGGCGAGTCACGGGAGGGGAGAAACATTCCCTGAGCACCATCCCACCCCCTCCCCTCCCAAAACAAACCCAGCTCCAGGATCTAAACCTGCTCCCAGGACATGCCCGGAGTCCCGCGCGGGGGGAAGGAGCCGTGAGAGGGGCAGAATCTGATCCCGGAGCACCCAAAACCCGCGGTCACAGATCAAGGTAACTCAACTCCGCTGAAAGGCTTTGCTGTTCCGTGCTCTGATTTTGCGAACAAAGGGATTTTTTTTTTTTTCCTTCGGGGTGAGTTTTTTTTTGCACGTTTGTCGGGTCCCCCTCCCTGACCAGCTCCCTCCGGGGAAGGTGTTGAAGGGACCACGGGGCAGGACAAGGTCCAGGAGTTGGGCAGGGAGAGCAGAAATCCAGCACGGCTTTGGGAGAAACTCCTCCCGTTTATGGAGCAGGTCGGGTTCAGGGCCGGGAGCAGCCGGGAATGGGGAATTACCACCTGCCTCTCTCCCTCCAGCGTCCTCCACCCATGGAACTGTTGCTGCAAGTGATGTTTATCACAGGAAAAGTCTGTTTGGTGTTCGGAAAGCTGAGTCTGGCACAAGGAGCTGCTCCTGAAGGCAGGGGGACCGGCTGGACATGGGGATGCTGTGGCATTCCTGACTCCCATGGCATTCCTGGCTCCCAAGCCCCCCCAGCCCACCCACACAAGGCACCTTTCAGGTTTTGCAGGGTTATGGTGACGGTTTTCAGTCTCCTTTTCTCTCTGGGAATCGCTCCCTGATGTCCCTGTCAAGATTCCAGTGGGTCCAGCTGTGCTTTGGGCTCAGCACAGAGTGGAGTTTCCCAAGCAAAGAGAGGCACCTCAGGCAGGCAGGTGGGATGGGGGTGGTCCCATCCCTCCCCAAATGATCAGCAGCACGAGCAAAGCTCAGAGGATTTTGGGTTAAGCAATGGTTTGAGCTCTGCCAGACGCTGAACAAGCTTCTTGATGCCTCATTTTCCCCAAAAACCTGGGGAAAGGGTTGTGCTTTCAAGCCCTGTGAGATGTGAGGCAGCGTGGAGGGCAAGGAGTAGCTGGGCTGTTGGACAGGAGGAAACAATGCTTGTCTTTGGCCAAAATTTGGAGTTAGTAAAAGATTTGACTGATTTTTTTTTTTTTTCATTCAGGCAAGATGGGAGGAAAGTGTTTTTGTTTCTCTGGTGTTTGCAGCTGGGGAGGACCCAGAGAGCTGAGTCCTGTGATCCTCACTCACATGAGCTCTCCTGCCAAAGCCCCGGGGGCTGAGCAGCCACACCAGGCTCTGGGCTTGGGGTGGGCACAGGGAGTGACTTCCAGGGATTCTCTGGTGCCCTCTGCCAGTGCTGGCTCCAGGATTCACTGACTCCCTCCAGGTGCTTGTCTGTGCCATCCAAAGCTGCTGCCCAAACCCTCAGGGATCTCTGGCAGGAATTCTGAGCTGGGTCTGCCCTCTCCTGTGAGCTGCAATCCTGTGGGAACAGTGGGGTGGAGAGGTCAGGACACCCCCCCACGGGACACTGTCCCTGGGAGAGCTGGGGCAGGACAGGGAGCTGGGGACCTCAACAAGGGCTGAAGTCACTGGGACAGGTCAGAGCAGGGATTTGTGTCCAGGTTTGTGCTCCTTTGGGTTATTTCTCCATTCTCTCCCTTTCTTTCCCAACACAACTGGCTGCCCAGGCATTTCCACAAAGCCTGAGCCCCTGGCACAGGGGGTGCACAGGAGTGTCTGCAGGAGCTGTGGTTGTACCTGGGGGCACCCTGGTTGGCCTGGCAGCGTCTTCCCAGAGTGGGAGCAGTGTTCCCACCACACTTCATTGCTTGTCCTGGGATCCCCAGGGTCCTGGACAATCCTGGAGTGCCTCGGCTGGATGGTCCTGGGGAGCAGATCCCAGGCTTTGGGCTGAGATCCCAACTCTGCCTGGAGGAGTCAGAGCAGAGCCTGAGTCCCAGCTCTAATCACAGGCAGGCTCCCTGATCCCAGGGAATCCCAAAAGGCTCCTGTTCTTAATCCAGGCACAGCAATTTTTCCTCCCTTCTGAGAGGGCTGGAAAGTTTCCAGAGCTGGAAAGTTTCGCAGTTCCTCAAACAAGTTCCTCACCCCCCCCCAGCCAGGAGCCCTCAGATCTGCCCCTGTCTGGGGCACAGACTGGCACTTTGCTGCCCTCTTCCATTCCCTCCCTGGGCTCAATTCCAGATCTGGATCATCCAGAAGCCCTTTCCTCAAACTCACATCGCTCCAGGACGGTGCCACCCCCCACCCCCACTCAGCTTTGTCCTGTGGTGGTGGAGCAGCAGCAGCTTGGCTTGTCCTGCCTGGGAGTGCCATCAGAGATGTGCAAAGCTGAACATTTCCAGGGGTATTTATTAGTGCTCCAGCCTTGGAGAGCTTTCCTAGACCTTTCACTGTGCTCAGCAGCCAGGACTGCAGAGAGCACAGGGAGCTTTAATCCCTGAGGATGGAGCTGAGCAGGCACAGCGGGTTTGGAGTTCAATTTAGGGAGACCAGGATGGGGAAGGAAGGGCTGCACATAAATTGGAATGGGATGTCAGGGATCAATATGGCATTTCTGGAAGAACCCCTGTGGTGTTTTCCCAGCAGGACTGTGCTGGGCAGGGGGGTGTTGGTGCAGCTCCAGTTTCCCCATGGAATGAACTGGCAAAGTTCTGCTGGTCCTGCAGACCCTGAGATGGGACTGCAGAACTGCCCAGACGTGCAGGTGTCCACAGAGGTCCCAAAACTGCAACTTCAGTTGGGAACTAAACTACCCAAAACTAAACTGACAGGAGGGGGGAGCCAGGGAGGGTCGGGCTCTGCTCCCAGGGAACAGGGATAGGATGAGGGGAAATGGCCCCAAGCTGTGCCAGGGGAGGTTCATCAGGAGAGACATGAGGAGGACTTTCCTCCTGGAAAGGGCTGTCAGGCACTGGCAGGGGCTGCTCAGGGAGGTGGTGGAGTCTCCACCCCTGGAGGTGTCCAGGGAAGGACTGGATGTGGCACTCAGAGCTCTGGGCTGGGGGACAAGGTGGGCATCAGGCACAGGTTGGAGTCGATGATCTGAGAGAGCTTTTCCAACCTCAGTGATTCCATGATTATAAATGAGTGGACATTAAAGGAAATTGGGCAATGCCAAGTGCAAGAGGTGCAGTTGCTGATCACACACACCCACTGACCCAAGGAAGGACCCTCAGTCACCAAAATGCCATGTCAGAGACACAAGGGACTGTTTGTCCTCCTTTCAGTTTGTTTTTCTGGACTGGCCTGTTTAATTTTAGCAGCACAACCTCTCACCCACAGGGGCAGCTACTCTGACCTGGTGGGATCCCATCTGGCATCGTTTCTGTCCTCTGTGAGGATGGACTTTCTCCAGCAATTCATAGAATACAATGGAATCAAATCATGCAGTAGAATATTCTGAGTTTGCAGGGACCCACCAGAACCATCCAGTCCAACCCCTGGCCCTGCACAGACCCCAACAATCCCACCCTGTCCCTCAGAGTGTTGTCCAAACCCTCCTGGAGCTCTGGCAGCCTTGGGGCTGTGCCCACTGCCCTGGGGAGCCTGTTCAGTGCCAACCACCCTCTGGGGGAAGAACCTTTCCCTGAGATCCATCCCAACCCCCCTGACACAGCTTCAGCCATTCCTGGGTGCTGTCCCTGCTCACAGGGAGCAGAGATGGAGCTGCCCCTCCTCTGTCCCTCAGGAGGAGCTGCAGCCCCCACTGTTCTGCCCTCAGTCTCCTCTGCTCCAGCTGAACCAACCCAGTTCCCTCTCCACGAACCCCATTCCTCCTTCCTCCGCCAACAAAGTTCTCTCCCTTGTCCCTTTCTCCACCTGCAGATCCAACCAAGACCCCAAGGCCATCCCACGAGCACTATGAGGACTCCTGCCAGCAGCTCCACCGTTTGGTCCTGCCCAGCACCAACCACAGCTCCTGCTGCTCTGGGTGTCATCCTGACTTTCCTCCTCTCCGGGGCTCATGGCCAGACCCCCTGGGCTGTCCAGGAGAGCACCATCCCCTCGGGGGGGCTCAGCCAGGAGCAGGCCTACAGCCTGGTGCAGCCCAGCCTCCTCCAGGACGCCGGGGGGTCCAACCTGTCGGAGAGCCTGCCCAGGAGCAGCGTGTCGGAGCCGCCGCTGCTGCCCGTGTGCGCCAAGCCCGCCGACATCAGGCACGTCTTCAAGTACATCAACACCATCGTGTCCTGCACCATCTTCGTCGTGGGCATCATCGGCAACTCCACCCTGCTGAGGATCATCTACAAGAACAAGTGCATGAGGAACGGGCCCAACGTCCTCATCGCCAGCCTGGCCCTCGGGGACCTCCTCTACATCCTCATCGCCCTGCCCATCAACGTCTACAAGGTGGGCTGAGGGCAGGGCTGGGGCTGCTGATGGTGCCCTGGGCAGGGTCTCTGTGAGCAGCTGCGGCTGCCCCACCCCTGGAAGTGTCCAGGGCCAGGTTGGATGGGGCTTGGAGCAGCCTGGGCAAGTGGAAGGTGTCCCTGCCCGTGGCAGGAGGTGGGACTGGACGGGCTTTGAGGTCCCTCTGAAAACATTCTGTGATTCCCTGATCTCGTTTTGCTGCTGAGGCCAAATGAAAGAGCTTGAAGAGGGGGTTGGCTCTGAGTGGGGGTGATGGGCTCCAGGTGTTGTGGGGATGTAAGGGTTGTGAACTCAGGCTCATTCTCACCCTTGTGAGTGAGTGGCCCAGGTTTCTCCTGCCTCCAGGGCACCTTGTCCCCAGCAGTCCCCTCTGCTTGTCCCAGCTGAGCACAGGGTCACAGTGCATGGATTCTGTCAGGAATGTGAGTGTGGTTGAGGGTCAGAGCATGGGGAAGGCTCAGGACATGTGACTCAAGCTGTCCGAGCTGGATTTGGGTGTTTCAAAGCACAACACCCATTTTGCCCTTTGAAAACAACCCCGAGAAGCCCATGGTGGTGTTTAGGACTCAAATCCACTCAAAACCACGCAGGGTTTGGAGTCAGGATCTGCTGTCTGGACCATCCTTCATCCCTGTGTCCACTCATCCCACTGGGAGTCCTCAGGGAAACCAAAGGCTCCCAGGACCCTCACACCACCCTGAACCTCAGAGTGCTGTTCTCTGTGGGCTCCTCACACCTCGTGGGGAACCCCCTGCTGTTATGGGAAGCTGGGCCAGCGTTCCCAAAGCAGCCTGATAACCCTGTGGTTCTTCCCCAGCTCTTGGCCAAGGACTGGCCCTTCGGAGTGCAGGTGTGCAAGCTGGTTCCCTTCATCCAGAAAGCCTCCGTGGGCATCACGGTCCTCAGCCTTTGTGCTCTCAGCATCGACAGGTAGGAAACCACCTCCACACCTGCCCTGCCCGGTCTGTGCCCCTTCACCGTGACCAAAATCCTCGGTCCCAGCACAGTCCCCAGGTGGGGACAGGCTGATATCGTGTGGGCTTGAAATCCAGCAGGAACTGAGTTGTGTCCTGCTGGAAGAGGTGAGGGAAGAACGTGCTGGAACAAGGGGTGTGGTGGTGGGGAAGGGACGTTGGTCAAGCCCCATTCCACTAAAGAAGGCTCAGGGGTGGAGGAGGAAAGGTGTGAGAGGAAAGGGCCTTTGGGGACAACCCCAACCTGCCCCTCCTCACCCCCTTCCTGACGGCTGCTTCTCTCTCCCCGACCCCGGGCAGGTACCGAGCCGTGGCGTCCTGGAGCCGGATCCAGGGGATCGGGATCCCCATGTGGAAGGCGGTGGAGGTGGTGCTGATCTGGGCCGTGGCCATCGTGCTGGCGGTGCCCGAGGCCATCGCCTTCGACATGGTGGAGCTCAGCTACTGGGAGCAGCACCTGTGGGTGTGCATGTTGGCCTCGGAGCAGAAATCCCGCTTCATGATGGTACGTGAGTGCCCGGTGCAATCAACCGCTCGGTCAGAAGGGTGTCAGCTCCTTGATTAGAGGAGCAGATGCCTCTGGAGATGGCTCCTGGCCTGGGGGGAAGCAGGGAGGGCAGCACCAGGCAAAGCACAGGCCTTGCAGTGACGTGGGGCTGGGGAACAGGGAGCTGTGCTGTGCTTCACCACCCACCCACAGCAGGTCCTGACACATCTCAGGAAGCTTCAGGACCTCCTAGACTGTCCCAGCAGGCCAAAGAGGGTCCCCACAGCCCGTTTGCACAGGTGACCTTTAACTCAGGGTTGGGTGAGCAAGGGAAGGAAGACCCTTGGTCAGCCCAGCATGCCCAACAGACAGGCTCCTCCAAGAGTGCCACCTGGCAGCCAGATGTTTAGTGGACATGGTGGTATTCAGGGAAAAGCTGGTCTTGGAGGTCTTTTCCAGCCTTAATGATTCTGTGATTCTGTAATTCCATACAAACCAGTCTTTGCTCCTTTAGGTGGAACCTGTGCAGCAGCCTCAGGGGAAGACAATCCCCCTGTGTGCTTAGGGCAGGAGCTGTGACACCTCCACACATCCAAAGTGCCTGGACAAGGCAGAGTGGGTGTCAGGGCCGGTCCACGCCCCTGTTACCCCCCCAGTTTCCAGTGGCTCTCCCTTTCCCACGCAGTTCTACCGGGATGTGAAGGACTGGTGGCTTTTCGGCTTCTATTTCTGCCTGCCCCTGGTGTGCACTGGCATCTTCTACACCCTCATGTCCTGTGAGATGCTGAGCAAGAGGAACGGCATGAGGATCGCCCTGAATGACCACATGAAACGGGTGAGGGGCTGGGAATGTGGGAATTCTGCTGCTTCCCGAAGAGGAGGGAGAGCTGTCGAAGGGGGGGCTGTGAGGGACAGGTGGGAGCTGACAAAGCCTCGCAGTGGATCTTGGATCAGTGCAAGGATTAAGGGAGAAGGGCCTTAAGCTGTGTGACCTCCAGTCTGGGGGACAACCCCAACCACCCCCTGGCCATGGACCAGCCTCGTTCTCAGCTCCTTTTGGTCCTTTATCTCTGGCTGTGCTGAGCCCAAAAAGACTGCACCAAACACTGGATGTGCCAAAGCCCAGACAGGAGGTGCAGGCAAAAGGAGAGTTCACTGTCCCCTCCCACGCTTCGGGAATGATTCCTTGGGGGAGCCCAGCTGGTTGTCGCAGTGACACCGTGTGAGGGGCAGGTGCAGGAGATCCCCGTGTCCCAGGGATGAGATCCCCATGTCCCAGGGATGAGATCCCCATGTCCCAGGGATGAGATCCCCGTGTCCCAGGGAATGTCACCCCAGCAGAGCCACCAGGAGGCCACGGTGGGAAGGGCTGTGAAGGGCTCTGGTCCACACCGAGCTGGATCTCACGCTGCAGGACTTCAGCAGCAAGCCGGTCTGGCAGGAGCTGTCCCTGCCCTTTAAAGTCCCTTCCGAGCCTAAGTATTCCATGATTCTGTGATTTGGTCCACCTGCTTTGCTCCACCTGCTCCCCAGTGGTCACCTTCTCTCCTCCCCTCACCTTGTGCTGGCAGCGCCGGGAGGTGGCCAAGACCGTGTTCTGCCTGGTGGTGATCTTCGCGCTCTGCTGGCTGCCCCTCCACCTCAGCCGCATCCTCAAGAAGACCATCTACGACCAGACGGACCCCAACAGATGTGAACTGCTCAGGTAGGAGCCCCAGGGGGTGGGCACCCAGCTGGGAGCCCCGGTGGCCCCGGCACAGGCTGGTGGAACTGCCTCCCAGCCCCTGCTTTCAACAAGGGCTTCGCCCTCCCTGATGGGCAGGGGAGGGGATGAGAAGAGGTCAAGTTAAATTTTGAAATATCTCCATAAAAATCCGTGGGTTAAGGGAGTCTCCAGGGCAGGGAAGCACTCCCAGCAGGGCTGTGCCCATGTGGTGGGTGCCCACCTCCCTTCTCCTTTGCCCCACGAGCCAACAACCAGCTCGGGCTGGGTGCTGCTGTGCTGGAGTTGGAGGACGTGGTGTCACCAGGGGGAAGCAGAGCTCGTGCTTTTGGCTTCCTCAGGAAATGCTCCTCGCGAGGAAAAGTGGTTTTTTCCTTTGGAAAGGACTGTTTTGTGCTCAGCTCTCTGTTCTCAGTCCCTGACCCTCCATGGGGGCACGATCCCTGGCCAGGCAGGTCGGAAACCCTCCCTCAGTTCTCCATGAGCTTCCAACACTCTTCTCCCCGCTCAGCTTCCTCCTGGTGATGGATTACTTTGGGATCAACATGGCCTCCCTCAACTCCTGCATCAACCCCGTGGCTCTCTACTTTGTCAGCAGGAAATTTAAGAACTGCTTCCAGGTAGGAGTGACCCCCCCAGAGCTCCTGGGTGTGCTGACTGATCCCAGATTTCAGTCCCAGGGACACAAGAGGAGCTTATTCCTCATCCCAAACGTTCCCCCTGCTAGGTACACTTGAGTTTGGTGCCCTGCTATGGGGAGGCTTTTGCCAGAGCAGGATCTAGGACAAAAATTCCTTCTGGAGCAGGAGTATCCCCACAAACCACCAGAGAGGGGACTGGGGCTGCTACAAACTTTGGGTCTGAGTTATTTGGGCATCATTTTCAGGAGCAGAGGAGCCCTGAGAAAGGGATGGGATGGGACAGGATAGGATAGGGTGGGATAGGATAGGATAGGATAGGGTAGAGTAGGGTAGGGTAGGATAGGATAGGGTAGGGTAGGATAGGATAGGGTAGGATGGGATGGGGTGGGATGCAATGGCATGGGAACCATCTCCCTGCTGCTGTGGCAACAGGAAGAGCTGAGCCTGTATGTTCTGTCCCTTAAGGACAAGAAAACACAACTGGTAAAAAGTGCCCCAAAATGTTAGGATTTTCATTTCCCATCCACACTGGCCCTATCCTGGAAATCCTGCTCCCAGCAGCCCTGCAGGACAGCAAGGCTCAGGAGTGCAGGCTGCAATTCCCAGCCTGGCACTGCACAGGGTGACCTGCCAGCTCCAGTACCAGAACATTCCCTCCTCTTTTCCTCCTTTGTCTCCTCACAGTCCTGCCTGTGCTGCTGGTGCCAGAGGCCCGCCCTGAGCATCACCCCCACGGATGAGAAGGGATCAGTCGGGAAGTGGAAAGCCACGGGGCAGGAGCTGGGGCTGGACCGGAGCAGCTCCCGCCTGAGCAACAAGTACAGCTCCTCCTAAATCCCAAATCAAGGACAAGGCTCAGGGCCAGGACAGCAGGACCCCTCTGCTCCTCTCCCACGGCTCTTTCCTGGCTGGGCCTGAACCATCTTTGCCTTCCCGTTGTGACCCACCTGGAAGGAGCCTCAGCATTCCATGGCCCCCCAGGCCCAGCTCTGGGCCCGGGCTCTGCCCCCCACCCTGCAGGAGGGGGAAGGGCACTCAGATCCTGACAGGATTTTTCATTTCCTTGCAGGAAAACCAAATGACTTGTGGCCATTTGTGTCGGGGTGGAACGTGGGGCAGGAAAAAGGGAAGGAAGGTTTGGGATGCGGTGGCTTTGAGAGGTGGATGTGGGATGAGGAGGAGGAGAGGGGAGAGGACCACGAGTGACAATTCCCAGCTGGAAAAGGAAAAAAAGAGCTTAGGTTGCTGGGAGTGGGAGTCAGGATGAGATGCAGGGAGGGCTGGCAGTGGTGGGAACCCTCCTCCTGCTTGTGGTGGGGACAGTCCCTCAGCCTCTCCGTGTGACCAACCTGCCCCAGGGAGCCCTGAAAGCTCCCTTCTCTTCCCCTTTTCCTGGGAATCCTGCCCCAGGCTCCTGAGCTGGGGGTGGTTTCACCCCCTCTGTGAGTGGCACAGGCAGGTTTGGGGACCAGGAGTCCCCAGGTGTCACTGGTGGGAACATCCAGCCAGGCCATCGGGTCCAGCTTGCCCTTCCCAGGGCCAAGGGGGCACCAGGATGGCTGGGAATGCTGTTCCTGCCAGGGAGGAGTTGGTAAGCCCAGGAAAAGGGAAGGCAGAGATGGCTCCAGTCCAGGTGAGGCTGGTCCCAAGGATCCAGCCCTCACCTTTCCAACCCCCTGGAATCACCTCATTCTCTGCTGGGAGGGTGGTAAGGGATGGGATCCAGGTGTGCCCCTCCAGGAAAGCATCCAGCCTCCATCCAGGCCCTGCAGCAGCTGGAATGTCCTTCAGCCCAGGGCTCCTGGGAGGGGGTCCACCCGATCCCGAGGGAAAAAGGGGTGGAAGAAGCTGGATCTGAGCTCCAACGTGTCCTGGCCAAGTGCCACCAAGTTCCATGGCGTTTGGGAGGGGACAGAGACGGCCTTGGGGTCAGCTGAAGGTGGAAAAGGCAGCAGGGAAGGTCCGAGCTCAGCTGAAAGAGCCTCTGGAACGAACCAAAAGATGGCAAAGATCGCCCCCAAATTCACTCCTGACAATCCCTGAGTGATTTTCCAGCAATTTTCAATTGGACAGGGCTTGGAGCAACCTGGTCTGGTGGAAGGTGTCCCTGCCTGTGGCAGAGATGATCTATAAGATCCCCTCCAACCCCAAACCAATCCACAATTCCATGTTTATTTTAACAACCTCTTGCCAAAAGCGTAAGAAAACCTCCACGACAAAGTTTTAGTTACCCAGTTTTTGATGATTTTCTGTTGGGTTTCCCTTCTTTCTTATCCCTTTTTTTATTTCTTTCCCCTTCTCACCTTGCCATGGAAAAAAAAAAATGGAGAGAGGAAAACAGGAGAAAAGACTTGCAATTAAAACATTTTCCAGATGTTGGGGTTTGGGTTTTTTTTAGCTGCAAATGTTTTACAAACAAGTCATATTTCTGAAAGACAAATGGGTTTCAAGGAAAGCAGAAGGTGAGGAATATGTAGACCAGCCTGTTTTCCATACATTTCCCAACCTACTGGAGTAATTTGTGTCTGTGCTGCAGTGCTGCTGTTGGGCTCTGGCTGCATTTGTTGGCAGCAAAATGAAGTCAAAGGAGAAAAGTGATAAAAACTGAGATGTTCCAGCTCAGACACCTGGGTATTTTTTAATGATTCTGCTTATAAAAAGATCAGAATTCTGTGTATTTTTGTATTTGTTCACGTTTACAGGCAGATGGAGTCTGTGATTTCAACTCCCACTGCTCCGTGGAGCTCTCACAGTGTGTGGGACCAGCTGGCACGGGCAGGGTGAGCCTTGTCCCTCCTCCTCCACGTGCTGAGCAACCCAGAAAGGTTCCCAAGCCTTCAACCCCCTGTGATTTCACACCATGTTACACCCATTACATGATCAGGGAGATCATAAGGGTATGGAGAGACAGGACAAGGGGCAATGGCTTCCCACTGACAGGGCAGGGTTAGGTGGGATATTGGGAAGGAATTCTCCCCTGGGAGGGGGGGCAGGCCCTGGCACAGGTTGCCCAGAGAAGCTGTGGCTGCCCCATCCCTGGCAGTGTCCAAGGCCAGGTTGGAGCAACCTGGGCTAGTGGAAGGTGTCCCTGCCCATGGCAGGGGTGGGACTGGATGGGCTTTAAGGTCCCTTCCAACCCAAACCATTCCATGGTTCTGTGGCTTTTCACACCTGTGCCAAGCAGAATTCAGTGCCACCTTGGCAGCATCTAAATGAATAAACTTTATTAAATAGAGAAAATACAGTTTGCAGCAAAGCCGTGAAAAAACAACCCAAAAAACCCCACTTGGACGCAGGGAATTCCACACACAGACATCACACACATCCATGGGGACATCCATGGGGACATCTGATGCCATCTCCCAAGGCTACTGCATCTCCTCCTCCCTCTGTGCCCGGTAGTCCTTCATGCTCCTCTGCAACAAGAGCACAGCACCAGGGTCAGCAGCCTGTCCTGTCCCTCAGTGACTCTGCAGCCCAGTGCCACCACCCTGCAGCGCTGGGACCTCCCTGCCTGCAGCCTGGAAAGGCCAAGGAAGCTCTGACAGAGCCCCAGCCACTTTTGGAAGCGACTGATTTTCACAGTCACTCGGAGGGAAAGGAAGCCAGGCAGAGGATGCCCAAGAAAACCATCAGGGTTTCATGGCAAAGGTGCCTCCAGCACAGGCCTCGGAGACAGAAACGGGACCGAGAGATGGAAAAGGCTCCTGAGCTGCTCAGGAATGGTCTCACCTCAAAGGTGCTGAGCACGTGCTGGCAAACGGCCATCAGGTCATTGAGCCCCTTCCGGAACGGCTCCACGGCAGGAAGGGCCCCTGTGGGAAGGGAGCTGGGGCAGTGACACTGAGCAGTGACAGTGACACTGTCCAAGGGCTGGGCAGTGACACTGAGGTGGCTCCAAGGGCTGGTGGCCCCTCCCTGTGAGCTGTGACCCAGTGCCCAGGGCAGTCCCCACCTCCCCCAGGTGTGTGCCCACCCACCCCCCTCCTGCTGCCCACCCAGGGCTGAGCTCCCTGTGCCAGTGCCTGCTGCCAGCCAGGGGAGCTGCTTCCCACTCCAGCTGGGAGCAGGAGCTGGAGCACCATGCTGGGAGCAGCGTGTGAGGCTCAGCTGTGGGGCCCAGCACTGCAGAGAGCAGGTGAAAGGGCTTTTTGCTTTGCTTAAGTGAGTCCTGGGGGGAACCCGGCAGGAGCAGGGGGCAATTCCATGAGAAAAGGAGCCCAGACATGCAGGAACAGCCCCCAGCCCTACCTCTGGTCTGGATCCTGAAGTTGATCTTGCTCTCAGAGGGGTGGGTGATGCAGTAGCCACAGAACTCCACATCAGGGCTGCAGGAGGGGAGAGAGGAGAGGGAGCAGTGAAACTCAGCCCAAGCCACAGCAAACCTCAGGGAAGGTGGAGCCAAGACCTGCTGGAGCTTGGAATGTTCCTACCACGATTTAGGGTCTCATGGGAGGCATTTACTGAGAGGAAACCACCTGTGGAACCTTCACCCCCCCTCCCCAGTCTGTCCCTGAGCTGCAGCTGGAGCTTTGCAGGGCAAAGACACGGCTGGCACCATCCTGGCACCACAACCAGTGCAGGGGCAGCCCTGCAGAGCCCAGACAGGGAATCCTGGATGCTTGGAATCAATTCCCTGTGAGGGTGGGGAGGCCCTGGCACAGGTTGCCCAGAGAAGCTGTGGCTGCCCCTGGATCCCTGGAAGTGTCCAAGGCCAGGTTGGACAGGGCTTGGAGCATCCTGGGCTGATGGAAGGTGTCCCTGCCCATGGCAGGGGTGGGACTGGATGAGCTTTAAGGTCCCTTCCAACCCAAGTGTGGGTAACAAATGGAGTCCATGGCCCAGCACAGGCTGGGCTGGAGACCCAGTTACTCCTCCAACAGCTGAGCTTAACTGGGGCTCCTGGTCAAGGGAGGGTGTAGGTGGAGCCTGGTCAGGCCCATCAAGGCCTCTTGGTGCTCTCAGGTTCCTGGCACAGCCCAAGGAAAGGATTAATCTTGTGAGCAGAGGCATGAGGTGGGAGCAGGGCTCCATGGGGGACATAAAGGCTCTGACAGGTGTGCACAGGGATTTGGGATCGTTTGCCTCCTTCCAGCGACAGCTGAGGTGTGGATCAGTGAGGAGAAGGCCAGGGCAGGGCATGGCACAGAGGTTCCCTCAGCCCTGTCAGAGGCTCCACTCACTTCTTCATGACCATGTAGCGCAGGGAGTTGCCCAGGGTGTGATCCTCGTCGTGCAGCACGAAGGTGACACAATTCCCGTCTGTCCCATCCGCCTGGATCTGTCACCAGTGGGAAAGAAGAGATGCTGTAAAGCCCCTTGGCTTGGGGCTATTTCCTCTTGTCTTGTCCCTCTTTATCTGGGAGAAGTCCTCAGGCACAATTCCTGATCTCAGCAGGACCAGGAGCTTCACTGCTTCTCTGGGGTCTCTGGGGGGTTTGGACACGGGGCCGAGAGGGAAGGCAGTGGGGCAGGTGGGGTGCTTTGCACAGGGATCTGGGCTGTTCCCCACTGCTGGGACGAAGCACCAGCCCTGGGATGTGACCTGCGAGCTGGGGGTCCCCCGCTGTCACCATCTGTCCCGACGGCGATGCCACAATGCCCCTCGCGGGGATGCCCTGCCACCGAGCCAGGCTTGGGAATCAGAATCGTGGAACCACGGGAAAGTGTCCCTTCAGTAAGCCAGGCTTGGGAATCAAGGGAGAGCGTCCCACCACTGAGCCAGGCTTGGGAATTACACAGTCGTGGAACCACGGGAAAGTGTCCCGTCACTAAGCCAGGCTTGGGAATCACGGAATCGCGGAACCACGGGATCATTTAGGCTGGAAAAGCCCCCCGAGACCATCGAGTCCAAGCCTCCCCCAGCACCGCCAAGGCCACCCCTGTCCCGTGTCCCCATGTCCCCACACCCACGCGGCTGTTCAATCCCCCCAGCGATGCGGCACTCCACCCCTGCCCTGGGCAGCTGTGCCAGGCCTGGACCAGCCCTTCCCACGAAGGAACATCCCCGCTGTCACACCCGGCCCTCTCCCGGCGCACCGCCAGGCCGTTTCCCCCTCGTTCCGCGCCGGCAGATCCCGCTCCCCCCCCCTTTCCCCCCGCTGTCCGCGGGGCGCTCAGCCCCCCGTTCCCCTGTGCCCCGTCCCCCCTCACGGTCTCCAGGGCCGCGCCGTGGGCGCTGCCGGCCATGCCGTGCCCGGACTGCAGGTCCCGGCGGCCCCGCCGGCAGCGGAAACGCGTCTGGCCGGGCCGGGCGGGGCCGGAGCGCGGGGCGGCCCCGGGAGCGCCGGTGAGCGGGGGAGAGGGCACGGGGGAATGGGGGATTGGGGGGATACAGGGGGAGCAGGGGGGGACACACACGGAGCCCCCCGCGGGGAGCGGGCTCTGCAGGGGCCGCCCCGCAGCCCGGGCCGGGCCGCGCTCGGCGCTGGAGAGGGCGGAGGCCTCGGAGCGGGGCCGGGGATGGGAACGGGCGGGGGGCACTGCGGGTGTCACTGTGGGTCACTGTGTCACCACGGGTCACTGCGGGTCACTGTGTGCCACCGTGGGTTACTGTGTGTCACTGTGGGTCACTTTGTGCCACCGTGTGTCACGGACCGCGACTGGAGTCTTACCGGTGTTACTGGGGTGTAAGTGGCGTGTCACTGGTGTTACTGGTGTTACTGGGGTGTCACTGGAGTCTTACTGGTGTTACTGGGGTGTGTGTGGCGAGTCACTGGTGTTACTGGGGTGTTACTGGTGTGTCACTGGAGTGTTACTGGGGTGTAAGTGGCGTGTCACTGGTGTAACTGGCGTATTACTGGTGTTACTGGGATGTAACTGGCATGTTACTGGTGTGTTACTGGGGTGTAGGTGGCGTGTCACTGGTGTTACTGGCCTGTAACTGGTGTAATTGGCGTGTCACTGGAGCGTTATGGGAGTGTTACTGGGGTGTCGGTGGGGTGTTATTGCTGTAACTGGCGTGTTGCTGGAGTGTCATTGGTGTGTTACTGACGTGTAACTGGTGTGTGTAATTGGTGTAATTGGCATGTTACTGGTGTGTGACTGGTGTTACTGGGGTATAAGTGGTATGTTAGTGGTGTAATTGGCCTGTTACTGGTGTATTACTGGCATGTTCCTGCAGTGTAACTACTGTGTTATTGGTGTTACTGGTGTGTTATTGGTGTGTTACTGGTGTGACTGGGAGTGGAGTGTGTCAGGGATGTTCCACTGGGTGGTTAAATTAACGAATTAATCGACTGATAATCCCAGCTGTGCTGGCACAACTTGGAGGGCTTTTCCAACCCCAACCATTCCCTGATTCCATGATTCCCACCCCCTGCTCTGGGGGGTCTGTGTTACCTCTCTAGAGAGCTGCTCATTCAGTTGCCATCAAGTTCTGTGTCTTTATCCCTCTCCACACCCTTTTATGCTCCTTCCAGGACAGGTTTCATTTCCAGGCCTGGAAAATGAACCTGGATTCATTTTTATCAGCATTTCCATACGGATGCAGCAAGGGAGCCCGAACTAAACCCTGTGTGCAGAACTTGGGATAAGCTTGGGCACAGATGTCAACGTTTCTAGGGCCTAAAATGAACAGAGCAACCCCAGGGAATATTCCTTTAAGGAAATAACGATTTCCAGCAGCCCAGGCTTCCCTTTCCCCTCTAGAGGGGAAAGGGAAGCCTGGGCTGGTTT